ACATGGCGGCGGCGGCAGCAACAATACTACAGCAAAAATAAAAGTCACGTCTTCTTTCTTTGCGTGAACATTTGGGCGGCGTTATGCAAATCTTCCCACATCGTGACGTAGACATGTGGGGGCGTGTTAGAACGAGCCGTTTTAGGAGGGCGTGGTTGACTCTTAACTTTTATAAAGAATATCTCTTTGGGTTTGAGACTTTAGTCTTTGCAACTTTAGGGATCTTATCTATTCACGAACAGCTTGTAAACACTCCAAAGAGAAAGGAAAACTTGAAATCGCATCATATCACCCCTTTAAGTCCAAAGAAATGTCTGAATGTCGTCACACTAGATCAGGGCTTCAGGGATGTGATGTTCATACATTTCAGAATTTTGTATGTATGTTACCATGCAAAAGTTTGGGGTCAATAAGCATTTTTTTTTATGTTTTTGAAAGTCTCTTATGCTCACCCAGCCTGCATTTATTTAATCAAAAATACAATAAAAACAGTAACATTATGATTATTACAATTTAAAATGAATTTTCTATGTGAATCTATGTTTGATTCAATTAGATTCACAAGCTTGCGATTCGATTTAATTTTGATTCATTTGGATACTGTATATATCAGATAGGATACATGTCCCATTTTCTCAAGAAGATGATTATTGGATGGTAATTGCACTACAAATAATGCTTTGGTGAAGTTTAGTTCATGCATCAGCTGAAAACAGCACCGAATAAGAGATTTAAGAACCAATATCAGGTAATCAAAACGAGAATTGATTAAAATTGAGGAAAATCAGCCCTACTATATTAGGTGTCCTCCTCTCTTTCCCCTTCTCTTATTGTACCTAAAACTTTTACAGTATTCTTTTGTTGCCTTCAGAGCACCGGTGTTTCCTGCAGCAGATGTAAGTAGTGAATGTTGTTCTGTGTGTTTGTGTTTAACAGTGCCGGAGGTGGAGGTGGAGAGTGAGGGCGACAGCATCAGCTCTCTGTGCACTCAGATCACATCCACCTTCAGTGGGCCTCCAGAGGACCCGTTCTCCTCAGCGCCGATGCCCAAACCCGCCTCCTCACCACAGTCACCCTCTGCTCCAGGTCAGCTACACCCTCACACTCTCAGTAGTTTACAAAGGAGTAGATGGTTGGTTTATGGCTTGCACCATTACCCATTTTTACTAGTCAGCTGGTCAGTGTTTACATTATGTAAAAGAGTCAACACACACTGTGCAGCATCTGTATCAGAATGAATGTAAACTTTTTTTTTGTCAAAAATGACCTGAACTTGATATATAATGACATTCAAATGTTTGATTTATTTAAAAAATGTTGATGTTTTTGAAAGAAGTTCTTAATTTTGTGGAAACCATGATACATACAGTATACAAATAAACTCATCAACAACTAACTAGTAAATTTGTCAGCCATCTCCATTACTAATACAAAGCTTATGTCGTATATTCTGACAACAGAGGAATTTTCCTCCTGCTGTCACCATACTTTGAACAAGCACAACTAAAATCATGCGATTCAAGACTAGTCTCTCTACAGACCCAGAACCTTGATTAGTGTCAGAACTAATTGAATCGTCTTCACAACCCCTAATGTGTGTGTGTGTGTGTGTGTGTGTGCATTTCTATGTGTTAGCACTCTGTCTGCTTGTGTCCGGCTCTGTCTCTAATCTTCACGTCCTGTCTGCTGCTGTAGTTAACGGTGCAGTTCCTGCCTTCCCGCCGCCTAATGTCACTGTAATTGCTGCAGTTAACTCACCCGTGCTGCCGCCCCCGCTGCCTGTCCGAGAGACTAACCCCTGGGCCAAGACCCCAAACACGGCCCCCACCACAGCACACATAGGTAAGAGCTGGGCTTCCTGCCACAGGAAGTGCTGACCATGCAGAATAGTTGCTGAGAAACTCATTTTGGTTATAATGTAAGGTTATGCTACTGTGAGCAGCTGTTGCATAAATCTTAAAACTGCTTTTCAGTGACTTCACAAGTATAAGCATGCAACTTATTTGGTTTATTTTAGATGCTAATTGTAGTTTGCATCTGAGCAGACAGTCATGGTCACAGTCTATTTATACTGACGTATTTGAAAATGTATGTTTAAACAAAAGTATATGGTTAAAAAATGTTTTGTTCAGCATTCACCATCCTGTTGGAATTATTATATAAGAATCAAAGAATGTCTTGTCTGTAAAACAATAGAAAGGAATAAGAAGAGTTATATAAAGAGAGAGTTATATATAGTGCAGTAAACTGCGAAAGAGAACTCACTCACACTCTTGTCTGGCAGGAGGCTTTTTGTGTCCTGGAGAACCACCAGCACTGAACATTTTTTATGTCTCTCTTATCTGATACACCCATTAGAGGTCTTGAAGTCTTGTGAGTTGATCATCTGATGAGTTGATTCGGGTGTGTTTGGGGAGGGAGGCGTCTAAAATGTGCTGTGCTGGGGGTAATCCCGGACTAGGATTGGGAACCAATGGGATAGATGGACCTCGTTGACCATTGGCCACTTAAAAACACTTAAAATGCGTAAGAATGCATTCCATGTGAATGATGTATGGATGATCTTTTTGAGATAGCAAATGAGCTATTGTTGCATTGAATAAGGCTCTTCTGGGGACTCGATTCTCTGGAGCGGAATCAACTCCAGAATTTGGAATCAGCACTCGATTCCGAATGTCTCAGAATTGAAAGCTTGATTCCTTTTGGAGTCCCAGCCCTAGAGCGAGAGCCTCTAAACCAGGGGTGTCCGGTCCTGCTCCTGGAGGGCCACTGTCCTGTAGAGTTCAGCTCCAACCCCAATTAGACACACCTGAACCGGCTAATCAAGGTCTTACTTGGCATACAGTAAGCTTCCAGGCAGGTGTGTTGAGGCTAAACTCTGCAGGACAGTTTGGGAGTTTGGACACCCCTGCTCTAAACTGTTAACAGTTTACCAGAATAAATGGCATGCTTACCAAAAACTGTTCTTGTTGTGTCCTGTAGGGAGCGAGTGGGCAAATCCTGCACCCGCAGCGGGAGCCTTACCTGCTCTTTCTTCACCTGCCTCCTCTCACAAACGTACGCCATCGGAAGCCGACCGCTGGCTGGAGGAGGTGACCAAGTCTGTTCGAGCCCACCAACCCGCCGTCATCGCAAGAACCAACACGCCTCCCGCTCAGCAGCCCTTCCCCGCCCCCGGCCCTTCTGCTCCCTTCATGCCAGGCACCCCCCCATCCGCGGTTCCTACCGTACCCCCACGCCAGCCGGCTTTCCACGCTCAGGCGCCGGCGTCCTTCCCAGTGTCCAATGGAATCCCGTTTGTGCAACCAGCCTTTCCGGTGGTCGGCATTACACCTTCGCAGATGGTGGCCAACGTGTTCGGTTCTGCCACGCAAACTCAGCCCATCCCGGTACCTGTTCAGGTGCCCCAGGCGCAGCTCCAGTCTTCACCCTTCTCCACACCACCAACAGGCCAGTTTGACACCCAGGCTGTGTGCAGCCCCTTCAGCAAACCGCTCCTACCTCCGGTGTCAAACGCCACAGTGCTGCAGCCACCGAAAGTCAATGCCACATTTAATGGGGCTAACAGCTGGACGGCAGTGTCGTCACCTGCGCAGTCTGTGGCAGTGCAGCAACAGGCCGATGCCTTCGAGGCCCAGTGGGCCGCACTGGAGAGCCGCTCACAGCAACGCACCGCTCCATCACCCACAAACCCCTTCTCCACCGAGCTCCACAAGACATTTGAGATCCAACTCTAAGCTTAAGCCACATTGAAGGACATTCATGGAGAGACGACTATTGAGGGAACGACCCCGCAAACCACTTCAGCTCCATATCTCCGTCTTTCGATTTCTTTGTCTGTTCATCCGTGTCTGGTTTTTGCTTGTGACATGAACAAATGGAGACAAGGGGGTTAATGAAGGTGCCCCCAGAAATGCAGCGAGTACAACTTCTGGCATTTATGGCGCAGTGATGTCCAAGATGAATTAGAGTGACAAGATGATGGTAAAAGGAATCTTTAGATGCTCTAACGTTGACCCTGTATTGTTCAGTACTCCCTCGACCCCGACTAACCCATCTCACAGCGCCCCCTAGCAGGCTGGATGACTGCTCCCTACCTGAAGGACGAGGCACTTCACAGACCTTCCGGGTTCACGAGGTTCTTGTAGAACTTCGCAATCAGAAGAGGAAGAAGCATGAGAATGCCAAAATCTTTATTTTTATGCATTAAGTATATTTTAAATAGCTTTGAAATTTAACTGAAGAGCTGTAAATAATCTTTCCAAAGGTGCAGGCTTATTTTGTGTGCATACAGGAACAGAGCATATATATATATAGGCGTGAAGGGATGGTTTTCATTTCTCGTCTCTATTCAGTTTTAGTCTTCTGGCCACCATGCATAGTTTGGATGTTCATCTTTTGTAAATAGATAATCCATTTGTACCCAGACCGGGTTTGAGGGTCTTTAAATCACACAGGTCCCAGGCAATGTTATCTTTCATGCTGCCATTTTAACCTTTTTTTTTATTTTTTTTACTATAGTATGAGTACTTTGATTTCTATTGCCTACATATCATTATAATTTTTTATTTTTTTATTTTTTAATGAATTTTAACACTTGACTGTGTCATCGGTCAAGCCACTTTTATTTTATTTCGATAAAAGATATACATTTTAGCACAAGCACTGTACTAATTGATCATTTGGCCACTTACGGTTAATGTGGCGTTAGTGAGCTATGATGAGGTCTTGAAATGACCTGTGGTTCCTACTCTACAATGATTGCAGTGAATTTTTATTTTCCTTCTTTTAACGCAATCCCATCAACCCTTTTGTTTTATCAGACGCAAAGATGATTGGTCCTGTTTTTAGGTTTTGATTCCATTTTGTAAGTATTGCATTGTATTCCAATTCTTTACGGAAAATTTAATCTGAAAGATTGAATAAAACGTTGGTGGTAGAGGAAAGCGGTTCTGTGTGCTTCTGTTCCACATTCAAGATTCATGATTTTATGTATCTAATGTCTGTGATTGTTTTGCAACTGAGGATTCTAAACAAACATAGTAAGATGTTTGGCCCATGAACTGCAAAGATCTGCTCAAGGATCTCACAGTGAGCTCAAAGGAGGCTAAAGAGATGCTGGCGCCAATAATAATAATCATAATAATAACAATAACAATAATTAAATCTACAGCAATATATGCACATGTATATATACATACAGATGTATAAATAATATAATTATATGCATATAACGGCAGCATAAGAAGCTTAAAATTCAATGTAATTACAAAATTAAATTGTATTGCAGAAGTTTAAATTTTTTTTACAAAACATAATGACATAAATTAACAGATCAGAATAGTGATGTACATGACCCAGAGAAGGGTCAGCTGACCCAAACTGACCTGTGAAAGTTTTCACAGATCAGAATAGTGATGTACATGACTCAGGGAAGTGTCAACTGAACCAAACTGAACTGTGAAAGTTTTCACAGATCAGAATA